ACCACCACACCTGGCTAATTTTTCTGGGTTTTGTAGAGATGGGATCTTGCTCTTGCTCAGGCTGGTCTTGAATTCCTGGCCTCAAGCGATCCTTGTGCCTCGGCCTCCCAGAGTGCTAGGATTACGGGCGTGAGCCACCACACCCAGCCGCAGAAAATAATTTTTAAAAAATCGTTCTACCCTAACTCCTAAAGCTTTACTTGGCCCTTCCTATTAGTCAATGTTAGTTCCTTTTTTTCCCCTCCTTTTAAAAAAAGAAAAGCTTTCACTATTTTCATGGGAGAAAAAAAAGAAATGTCCTTGAGGGGATAGGATGTTCTAGTTTAATTTTCACTTGCATCAGTGGCCTTTCCTATTATTTTTGCTGAACAGAGGGGTGAGTTCTTTGACCCTTCAACTCACATTTGGCAAAATAAAAGTGAATTAACACATGAAGGTAATGTTTCTTAAACAGCAGTCATACGACACCTCTGTTGTAACATCTTTATCCTCAGGCTTTTGCTAGTCATCTTTCCTCCCTAACTATCCTTCCAGGTTAAAATACCCTATTTCATCTTCTCCTCGCCTTCCTCTAGCCCCAGCTTTTGATAGCTACACCTGCTTCGACAATAATTCAATAATTTTGAAATGAACAAAACGAGAGATGGTGGGTTTGCTGATCCCTTCTCCACAGCGTGAAAAGTGTGGGAATCTATAAAAAGGCTTCTTGTCACCAGATAAAAAAAAAAAAAAGCCATTTTTAGATACACCCCCCCCCACACACACCACTGCCTAAAGGTGTTCTTGTGTGTGTGTCACTATTTTACGACTTTCTTAGAGTACAGAGTGGCAGGTTTTTATGAAATACAAATTTGAATTCTGTTAAGTAATCCAAGAGAAAACGTCATTTTCTTAAAATCTCCTCAGACCTATATTCTTGGTGTTGTTTATTCAGCAAACATTTGCTGAATGCCTACTAAGTATCAAGCACTGTGCCAGGTGCTGGGGAGACAGATTTTTCAAACCACATTTACTCTGCTTTCAAAAAGCCCACAGTCTCATACAGAGACAGACAAGTAAGTATGATGAGTACATTGACAAAGGTAAACCCAGAATCTATCCAAGTCCAGAGGAGTGGCTTCCACGGTTAAATTCAAGTTAATTTAGAAACTCTAGGCAAGTGACCACACTACGAATCTTCATTTCAGAAGTGTAATAGACTCTTCTGTTTAGAAGGGAAAAACTGCTAAATAAAAGTAAAAACCCTTATGCAAGGTGTAGTAGTAACATTTGTGCCTGATACTTCCCCATACTGCACTATGTTGTATAAAAGTTCAATCCTTTTTACGGAAGATTTTGAGCAAACATTATGACAGCTTTTTAAATCTGAAGATTATTTTTTATGGTGAAAGAATGTAAGTTTATCACGTTAACACAGGTTTCCTTAATACTGGTCCCCAATCATATTGGTATTGCAAAGAGCTTTTTTTTGTTGTTGTTCCTGGATGATAATGTTCTAAAGATAAATTATAACCAAGCCATATATTTTGTCTTGGTAAAATAGAACATGTTTGTTCTTAATCTTCTAAAATAATTCTTCAAAGATTTTGCCCTCTTATCATCATGTGTAAGTAATCTGGGTATAGTGACTTACTGCATAAAATAACAAGCTGACCCTTTCTATTATTAATCTTCAGATACGCACAGTTCATATACTCTGGGAGCAAATACAGTGGTCATTTTCAAAAGGACTGCTACTTGAAAGGGGAATATAACCAACAGATAATATACTCAGTAAAGTTAATACTTTAATTTGTTTAGGCTCACTTCTCGAGTCACAGTCCCCTCTTTTTTTTTTTTTTTTTTTTTGAGCCAGGGTCTCACTCTGTCTTCTGGGCTAACTCACTAGTTTGGGTAAACTCCTAGGCTCAAGTGATTCTCCCACTTCAGCCTCCCAAGTAGCTGAGACCACAGGTGCAGGCCACCACGCCCAGCTAAGTTTTTATTTTTTGTAGAGACAGGGTCTCACTGTTGATCAGGCTAGTCTCGAACTCCTGGCCTCAAGCAATCCTCCCACCTTAGCCTCCCAAAGTGCTAGGATTACAGGTATGAGCCACGGTGCCCAGCCTCCCCTCATTTTTTTTTTTATTTCAAAATATTTTAGAGTACAAATGTTTTTGTTACATGGATAGCTTTTATAATGCTTAAGTCAGGCCTGTTAGTGTGCCCATCACCCAAATAATGTTCATTTTTGCTACATTAAGTTGTCTTTGGAGTTTTGAACCTGTTTTATGTGATAGAATGGAATATTTAAAAATTCATTTCTCAATGCACTTGAAATGGATATCTACTCTTAGACTAAAATTTTGTCCCATTCTGTGGTCTCTTATATAATATTTGAAGATTTTTTAATGATGATTTCTGTTATGAAACTGCTCTGGAAAACAAGAATTCTTTTACAAAAGGAAAAAAATATTAAGGGGAAGTGAAGAGTTATACTGTTAGCATTGTTATATTTACACTGGATTAAAATTTTGGACCTATTCTCTGGACTACCTTCTAAACTAGCATTATTTTTAAAATATATTTTAGTGGCTTATTTAATTATCTGTGTCAACTGAAATCAATGTCATTTCAAGTTTTAACTATTTTGGTGTATTTTAACTTCCTTAAGTTTATTAAACGTAGAAAATACAGTGTGGCCTTTAATTGGATAAGCAGGGTCCTAAACCCAAAGTGCTAATTTTTACCAGAGATAGAACAAACTAATAAAATTATACATATTTGTGCATGAGTAAGTTTTGATCTGTTATGTGGACAATGTGGAGTCTGGTGTCACTGGTTATCTTTATAAATCAAGTTATTACAATTTGAAACTGAGATGTTGCCCATATTCCCAGCCTCCCTCTCAGTGTGCTTAATAAATTAGCCAACTGATACTCACCAAAACTGTGACTTATGAAGACCTCCTATAAAACCACAGGCCTCTACCTAGTGTATCTCTTCTGATTGCTGGCATTTAAAAGCTGCTTGCTTTTCTGGGACTGTAATGTTAAGTCCGATTTTGGACATAAATGTAATTTATTAATAAACATACAGTAACATAAATGTAGCAGGTCTCAGTGTCTTCCTCTTTGGAACCTCAGACCTAGTGCATGAGTTCCAATCACACATATAATCTCTCTTTTCCCTGTGAAATAAAAGTTCAGATTTCCTGAGAAATAATGTAGAATAATTTTATCTGACCCTTCAAGCATTTTCTTATAAGTTTTAAAAAAATGGGTCAAGAGATGCATTTTTTAACATAAAGCATGGTCTAATGGAACTTTCTGCCGTGATGGAAATAGTCTATATCTGTGCTATCCAATATGGTACCACTAACTATAGCTACTGAGTACTTGAAATATAGCTGGTGTGACTTAGGAACTGAATTTTACGTTTTATTTCATTTCAATTAATTTTAATTTTTAATTAAAATAGCCATATGTAGCTAGTGGTTATCTTGTTGGATAGCACAGCTGTAGAACACCCCTTGAATTTGATACATATGCCCTCACTTGCAAGCTCATTGAAGGACCCCTTCATTACGTGAACTACAATATATAAATTGAAAAAAATTTCTAAACATATAATAGATGTAATGGTACACACCTTACCAACACATTAAGACATTTTAAATTTTTTTATAAGGAAAAAGAAAATAAGTCCGATGGTAAATTTAATGTTGGATGTTGGCTTTTACATAAAAATTGGGATGTAAAATTTAATTCCCTTCAAGGAATATATGTGTTTTTTTGACTTTGAAAAATTCTAGACTATAATAAAATTTTGTATTTTATGAATCTCTTTAATTTTTGTTTTCTGATGAAAGAAAGAGTAATTATAAAGAATTTCAAGTAGTTATGGACAAAATGCAAAACTGACTTCTCACAAATGGTTTCTCCTACAACCCCAGGGAAATAAGGAATTAATTTCTCCTTCCACATCCTGAACATGTACTATTTAAAAATCCCCCACAGTTGTACATGTTTTTGAGCTACAAATTACTATCATATCTTTTTTTCTGAAGGGTCGGAGCTACTTAATGACTGACCACTTCATCTTTTATAGAGAGGAGCATTGTCCTTTAAAAGCATTTTCCCCTTTAAAAGTCATTTCAGTTGCATTTAAGAACATCCATTATTATCCTTCCAGGGAATGCTATTTTTCACTGGGCATTAGAAAAAGATTAATCATCTTTGCCTATCAAGAAGCATAGGCTTTATTAAATCAGTCAGAAACATTAAATTCCAGCTTTACTCACTCTGGTGACCATACCGATGCTGAGTTGAGGAAGAATTTGTGAAAGTAGCATTTGGTTGAAATTGTACGCCTGTCTCTTTAAATCTAAAAAAAAATCCTTTCAGAAGCTGTAGAGAGAAGGTGCTAGAACTGTGTACGATCATGACTGGAAAGCAGGATCCCTCAGTGACTGCCGAATCTTCCCAGCACAAGATAGAGAGGCAGTTCAGCACAAGCCTACACTGGTTCTAGGCAGAACGATGATCCTACCGAACAGATCTCAAATAAAATTAAATTGAGAAAGCAGATCTTTCAAGGGAATGAGGCGGAGGCTCGCTTTTATGTTAAAAGCCACCAGCATCCTCCTTGCTAGACATGGACATGACATTTTTAAAGGAATTATTTGGTTACAGCGTTTTAAGCAAACTGTTCTAAGGAGTCTGTACATTGCATTGTTTTTTCTATTCTTTTTTTCTTTTGCATATATGTAATTCTGGAGGTAAAGAAAAAGCCTGCCAGGGATTCAGAAGGCATCCCACTAGCGATCAGCTGACATTCCTAACTGAAGGCTGCAATGTGTTGCTTATTCATTTTGTACCGTGGGAGCTGCGGGGACTAGCAGAGAGCTAAACTATGCATTTCAAACAGCAGTGCTTGTGCAGAAAGAGGGGTGAGAGAGAGGCAGCCGGCGAGGAAAGAGCACAGCTGGACTTTCTCCTTGTTTTTATCCATTTCTGCAGGATCATGTATTCATAAGGGATGAGGCGGGCCACGGCGATCCCAGGCCTGAGCCGCGGCCTACCCAGTCAGTTCAGAGCCAGGCCCTCCACTACCGGAACAGAGAGCGCTTTGCCACGATCAAATCAGCATCTTTGGTAAGCAAACACCCCTCTACCCACCTTCCCTTCCTTCCCCTCCTCCCCATCTGGCAGCCTCTCGCCCTCCCTGAGCCTCTCTCGGCTTCATGGACGGGAGGAAAGGAGTCAAGAATGTTTTCTCCCTCCTAATAATTTTATTCATTTTAGAAAAAATCTGTTGGCATAGCAACCTGGTCTCAGATATTTTAGCATTGTCTATGGCATGGAAAAAAAAAAAACCTTTGTGTGTGTATGTGTGTGTATTTGTATATGCTGTATGTGCACAATGTAAGGCCTTTGAGATGAAGTTGCTAGTCTATCCAATTTTTTAAAAGCTATTTGTCTTTTCATTGAAATAAATAATGCTAAAAAAATTTTTTTACGGTATTGATGTATGTGTATGCAGGATACTATTCTTTTTGTAAAGATGCATATGTGTCTATAATGTATATACACACACCAAAAGATAAAAGACAATTTTTTTTAAATATATGGTTGCTAGCTAATGTATATAATTGTAGAAAATAAGATACTTGCTTCCCAGGGATGGATTGCTGGTTCGTTCTGGTTCATTCATTTATTTATTGCAACAATGGTAGTGGCTGCACTTCCCCATTTAACCCCTGAAGAATTTCCTGGCACCAATAAAGCAAGGAGGGCTTTGTAGGAGCGGAGAGGGATGATTGTGGAAGAAAAGAGACTGTAGGATTCTTCAGCATTTTTACTATTGCAAATGTGATTGCTGGATGCCCTTGTAGTAGCAAAAGGGGTGTGTGCTGGAAGAGTTAGTTTTCATGCCTCCTCCCCTTGGTCCCCCACGCGTGCGCGTGCGTGTTCTCTCTCTCACACACACACACACACACACACACACTCACATCATTTCACCCTTGGCACTCTTAAACTCTCTTTCGTCTTTTGCTTCTCAGTCTCACTTCTCAGCCATAAAATTATTGAAATATTAGTTGTTTTGCCTAAATTGATGTTAGAGGTCACATGGGCAGGAAGAGTTAGTGTACACTGCTTGGCTGTTACATTTAGAACCTATGATGACATCATCGGAGGCCGACCCAGAAATGATCATTTTTCTTGTCCTATTTTTTAAACCTGATTTCTACTTTTATTTCTCAAGTCTTTTAAAGGCTTCGATTATCTTTGAAATTTATAATGCATTATAATCTTTAAAAGCCCAAATACAAGGAAAATGGAAGTTAAAGCACCTACATATTGCTATGCCTGCTGCTGTCTAAAAACAAGCAATTGAACTTAGACTGCTTATAAATAAGCCCACTTTTAAGATCCTTTATGTAGAAGTTTCTTGTAATCTCTTTGATGGGCAATTTTTCATTTTAAAGGAATGCTGTACTGTGCAATGGAGGTCTTAAAATGTCCACTATGTATTTGCTAATGATAAGCACCTTAAAGATAATGCTTTTGATTCTAAATAAAGCATCATGAGATTATTAAATAATAATTATCTTCATGCCGTGATATCTTACAAAAGAGTAAATATGGTATTTTAGAGAACTGTTACTACTTACCACACACTCTTACAAGACTTGTAACCTTTAACCAGACTTGTTCATGTTGAAATGAGAGGAGAAATAGCAGCCGCTGAGCATCAGAGCACCATCAGCAGGTTTTACATGTGGTGCAGACATTATACCAAGTGGCTTCCCCCCTCTGGGACAGGTTCTCTTCTTTTCTCACTTGCCACACCCTCATTCCCACATCATATATTCATGACCTCTTCTGCCTCCCAGCAAGATATTACTACGGCCATGCCAGCATAATCTCGTGCTCGCATCTGTGAACTCACCCAGGGCTACTCTGTGTGTGTATCAGCCATCACAGTCTTCCTCCCTGTGGATGATAAAAGCTGGCTCCCTACTAGGCCACCTCAGGGCTCTGGACAAAGTCCTCGGGAACCCCTCTGAATCCTACAGGCTTCAGAATGCCCATCCAGAGGACAGCTGGGATCAATCTCGCTGATGGAGTTTTGATTTGCTAAAAGGCCCCTGCCCCGATGTTAAGTTAAAACCAGAATAGCTGATAGGATGTCGCTTTAACCACAAAATTAGTTGCTTTATGGAGTACCCTCTCCAAATGTAGTGCTTTGGGAGTCATGGCTGGGATTGATGGAAGTTTATCAGAGTTCAGTGGTATTTGTATCTAGTGATTTTTAAGGAGGAAAAAAACATGAATGGAAGGGAGAAATGGTATGGTGGTATACAGTTCCATGTCCCGTTTTGGACAATCTTACTATTGGTATGGACCTTTTAATGTCTATTAGCAAGTACTACAATTCTGCTACCCATTATATTATTTTAAAGGCTAGTTCCAACAGCAGTATATAAATCAGGAACACTGGAATATCATAAATTATTTAATTTTTTAAAAATATATCATGAATCCTATTGTTTTTCATGGATCAAATGAAAAGGACTGAAATGACATAAACAACATAAAAGTAAGAGCAGGATCATGGGAAAGTGAAAGTCTAGTATAATCAATAATCAAGTCATTGTTGAAACCTTGCCTCGTTTCTCATAGTTGGTAGCATGATTTATTGATTTATTTATTTTGGTTTTACTCTTTCTTTATAATCTTCTAGGAGAGATGCTAACAAGTCAAAAGGAGGCCTAAAAGTGAACAGTAAAAAGAGGATAAATTTAGAAAATAGTTTTGCAATTACTAGATAAGTAAATGATGACTATATATTTTAAATCAACTTGCAAACTGACCAAAAAATATTTCCGTTCCTAAAATTTGTTTTATGAGCCTACCTATTCAACACAAACCTAACAGAGGCCTAGCTTTGTGCTTTTTCCCCTTAGTATCACTTTCCACACTGTGCTTTTCAATGAGCTTATTGACAAGTAGTTTATGAAGCCCATGGGCTGAGGGCTTGTACTGCTAGATGTTTTTATTAGTTTGGCCCCTTAGTCCTGAGATTTTTGTGTTATTACACACTTCTGCACAGTTGCATTTGTGACAAAGGAAAAGAAGGACTGTAAACCTTGATACCAGAGGAAACCCCAAGGAAACTTTAGAATTCCAATTTTTTATTATAATTTCCTATGGGCAGAGATTATCGACCTTATTTTGAAGAATTAGGAAAAGGAAGGGAATTTCATGGCATCTTTTTTATTTTATCCTTTCTTTTTCTTCTTCTGTAAGAAAGTGTATATTGGGCTGATTTGTTATCTGGGAAAAGGAGTTGCTTATCTAGTCCTTCAGAGTTATTAATCTGACTTCTTGGACCTTTGAGATGTGCCTTCCTTGGGTTTTTATGGACAGCCTAATATTTTAATTAGATTAGTGACCCATAAGGGTGTTTTTAGCTCTTGCTACATCTGATGTCATTTCTTCTGAAAACTTTATAATGCGCTGGGTCCCTGGCAGTTTCCGTAGTGGATGTTAGTATAAAGAGCACTAAGGCCATATCGATCAGACAATTCAGCTTTTGGCCTTCTGAAGGAATTCTTGCTGGAATGCAGTGGTCTTACTGCACAGGTGAATTTGTGTTAGAACACACATTAGGGAGATGGGCACGAGAGGGAAACTCAGTGTGGAATCCCCATGAAAGCATGTGAGAGAAAGTGGTTATTGTTCTATCATTGCAAATATAGATTCATTTACCAGATTCAGTAGAAACAATTATAAAAAGGGTGTCTTCATTTGTATTTTTAAAAATGCAACCTAGTTATGTAGCTAATTCTGAAATTAGATATCTGAATGAGTTTGATACATAAGAATAAAAATATTAGAGCCTTAGCAGTAAATGCTACTGTTTCACCTCTCATAAGCCCGGTTGTTGTTCTCTTTCTAAATGCTTGAAAATGTGTTCTCTTCCTGGGTTGTATACCAGAGGATGCTTATCAAAATATTGCATATCTCTTTCCATATTTTTGGCTTCTTAACTCACTAAGATCATTACCGATACCATTTTTCACCTTTGCTGTCCAATCTGCATGCCCAACTCACATGGCCAAAGTCTCTCAATAAACCTCTGTTGAATAAATGAATGAATGCATGAGTTGCTTCTAGTCCTGCTGATCACATGAGAATTTGGATTTACAAGTGTGCATTTCAGAGTTCTCCACATAACATTTTCTGTTATAAGACAAAATTGCCTGTTAGCAATTATTACTTTCAGTAAGAACTTAAAACATTTTTTCCTTAGGTGTTCTAAAGAGTGGAATGGTAAATGTCTAATGCCAAAATGTGAATCGTTGTATTCTTTTTAAGAACTTGCTATAAATTTCATTTGTTTGAAGTGCTGAGGGTGGCCACTTTTATCATATGCATTATTTTGATTCTTATAAATTATTAATCTTATAAATTGGCTTTGATCTCTTAAGAGGGTAACATTATGAGCCACCATGCTCCTGTTATGTTCCGTAAGTTGCTTATTAGCCTTCTAGTGCAGTGTTGTATACATGGTAGGGACATGCTACACTTTCAATGAAGTAGTTTGTTTTAGGGCTAATTTTTTCTGAAATTAAATAGGGTAGCATTGAACAGCTGTAGAAACTTCCCGTAAAAAGTTTCAGTCCACCTTTTCATGGTTACTTATTTATTTATTATTTATATATTATAGACATATGAAATGAGTAATAATTCAAGTTCAGAAATTTTATGTATTTAATCTTATAATCCAGAACCTGGATATAGGTATAGTTTTATTATTAAATGCCCTTTCTCTTGGATCCACTTATTCTGATCTATGTCTCCATCACTGGAAACACTACACAGAGGGGGGAAAAGAGACATATTTCTCAGGGCCTGGCATGAGAAGGAAGGAAACCAACATATGTTGAACATTTCCTGCATGTCAGACACCTTGCTAGGCACTTCCACATGTGTTATCTCATCCCGTTGTCTGACGCTGAGGAAGATAGTAATGGTTCCTCTTTATGTATGAAGAAATTGAGAGACTTCAAAAGGTTAAGTAATTCGCCCAAGGTCAGTTATATAGTAAAGGACTGAATGAGGGTTTTTTCCATGCAACCTACTGGGTTTGGCAAGATGGCACTGCCCACTCTTAGTCGATCACATTTTTGAGACTACCATTGTAAAAACTATAGTCACTACATCTCCAAAACTTTCTCCCATTTTCAGACTTACTCAGTTCGTAATTTGGACTTACCACTCTCTCCAGGTTTGACTTTTTTGGGTGTTGATTCCCTCCATGACTTTAGAACAGAAAGCAATCACTTGTTTTCTGCCTTGGTGTTGTGAACTTCCCCAGGCAATTTAAGATCCATAGGAATCCAAGGCCTTACAAAAATTAAAGAAGTAAATTATATGTGAAAACACTTGGTAAACCATAAGCATGATAAAATTATGGGCTATTTTTTTTAATTCTGTTGGCCATATAGTATATTCTAAAGACACAACATAAACAAATAAACACACAGACATACATAACTGTAAAGAACATTTTTTATATATTCATGTTAGACTTTGACAACTAAAACATCTGGTTATACTTTTATTTAAATTCATCTATCTAGCTTGAGCATAGAATTATAAAACTTAGTATCTCTGTGTGTACTCAAAAAGACAATTTGAAACTTAGAAAGTTTGGTTGTGACAAATGAAAGATGATGTTAGGGGTTTAAGACGGTAATTATCCAAATTATGGGAAGGATTCAAAAGCACAGTGTGTCTCCTGGAGCTCAGTGATGTACAATGATGCAGGCTGAGCTTTGTAATTTGTCTCTGCCACGTCCTTGTACCAGGTGATCTGGTAGGCAGTAGGACTCCTCTCTTTACGGAGACCTGCCCATCAATTCAGATAGAAGATGTTCCTGACACAACTCATTTCTACTTTATCTTTAGGCCTCCTGGTTTAGCGAAATGGCCATCCTGAGAATATTTTGTTGGCTACAAGCCAATGCGTATGACAAGTTTTAAATGTGTCATGATAGCTTTAGAGTGTGCCATGTCCCAGCTTTGGAAATCTGATTAAAGAAGGAATACTAAAATAAGAAAAAAAGAAGTATCTGGATAAAACATATCTCAAACTCATTACCCTAGAACAGACATTTTATGCCATCCGTATTTTTCTGAAAAAACAGATAAATTCAGAAAGGACTAAATGGTATCCTTTCTGTTGATTGGAATTGTTTTTACCCTAAAAGTGAACTTTAGAAAAGCGTAAGCATGAGAAAGTGAAATTTATACATATATTTCAAACTATTTTTTTCCTTTTATCAAGAAATAAGTCCATAGGCCGGGCGCGGTGGCTCACGCCTGTAATCCTAGTACTCTGGGAGGCCGAGGCGGGCGGATCGTTTAAGCTCAGGAGTTCGAGACCAGCCTGAGCAAGAGCGAGACCCCGTCTCTACCAAAAATAGAAAGAAATTAATTGGACAGCTAAAAATATATAGAAAAAATTAGCCAGGCATGGTGGCGCATGCCTGTAGTCCCAGCTACCTGGGAGGCTAAGGTAGGAGGATCGCTTGAGCCCAGGAGTTTGAGGTTGCTGTGAGCTAGGCTGATGCCATGGCACTGTAGCCCGGGCAACAGAGTGAGACTCTGTCTCAAAAAAAAAAAGAAAGAAAGAAAGAGAGAAGTCCATTTTTTTAAAAAACACATTATTGTGATAAGAAAATAGATCATTTGTTTGGAGTGTTAGGTACCTTTTTGGTGAGGCTATCTTTTTTTGGTCTTGATATCTTCTGCTCTTATTCCTCACACTTTAAAGAGGATTGTCCTTCAGAAAAGAGAAATGAATATGAAACCTAGTGTTGGTTTTAGCTGGAAAGGTTTCAAAGTTCGGCTAATGTTTAATGGTCTACTTTGATAATACTATCCAGTTACAGAACAGCACTCTCCTGATTATAAGGACTCAGTCTAGTATGCAGGGCCACCTTGTAAAAAGATCAGAGAAACAAACTCTTCTTTGTATAAAATACACTTTGACCCATAAACTGAAAATAGTATAGAAAATTAATAGCAGTATGAAATTTCCCAGTAAAACTCATTTGGGTATAAAAGTTGGGGAGCAATGCCTTATAGTAGATAGAAGTGACTCAATACTTAGTGAAGAAGAAAACCAAAGTTATAGTCCTGAAATTAAGATGTTTTTCTAAAGTAGATAGGAAAAATGAGAAGGAAGTGATCAGAGACTCTAATGGGAAAATAAAGAGGGATGATAAATTGAAGGAAAGACTGGAAAATCACAAAAGTCTTGTTCCTTTACAAGAGGTACCAGAATACATGTTTGCACTCTTTAATTTGTTGGATATTTACTTGAGAATGAGTTAAGGAAAAGTTACTAAGAAAAGTCGCCATCAGAAAATCATAGAAATGCTTTCTTCTCCTAAGGACAGCAAATGAATGTATTACAATTAGTTAACATCTCTTTTATGGGGAAGGAGGGGAGAGACATGATTTAAGAGAAGAGATCTCTCTCTCTTCTCCTCCCTCTCTCCCTCTCCCCCTCCCCCTCTCCCCCTCCTCTCCCATGTTAAGAATAGGAAATAAATCATGTTCAGATTATTTTAAAAGGATAATCAGGGTTCCTGTGACTATTAGAGACATGATCCTTTAAAAACAACAACAAAAATGATTCTCAAGTGGAGACCGAAGGAACGTTTGGCAATCTCTGGAGGCACTTTTGGTTGTCATGACTGGAATGGTGCTGCTAGCTTCTAGTGGGTGGACACCAGCGATGCTGCGAAGCATCCTACAGTGCACAGGATGGGCCCCATCACAGAAAGTTAGCTGACCCGTCGTCAATAGTGTCAAGGTTGAGAAATCTTGGTACAGTGGAAACAGCATGGGTCTGGACTCAGCTGGAAATAGGCCTAATTCCCAGCTCCACTCCTTATTAGCTCTGTGACCTTGAGCATATATATGATAGTATATCACAAATATGTAAATGTATTTTGACTAAACGAATAAATTATTTCCTTCAAGTCTCAGTTTTTGCATCTATAGTATGGGGGTAACTCCTACCTCATGAATGAATAAAATGAATACGTGAATAAGATGGTTTTGAGAATTAGGGATGAAGTATATAAACAGAACCTAGCATATCCTAGCACTTTGAGAGGCCGAGGCAGGAGAATTGCTTGAGGCCAAGAGTTCAAGACCAGCCTGAGCAAAAGCAAGACCCCATCTCTACAAAAAATAGAAAAATTAGCCAGGCATGGTGGCGTGCACCTATAGCCCTGCCTACTTGGGAGACTGAGACAGGAGGATCCCTTGTGTCCAGGAGATTGAGGTTGCAGTGAGCTATGATGACACCACTGCACTCTGCACTCTAGCCCAGGCAACAGAGTGAGAACCTGTCTCCAGGAAAAAAAAAAAAAACACTCAGCACAGTGCCCTCTACAGGTGAGCATTCAGTAAATAGTAGGTAAATTGACGGTGACAATGATAAATAAAATTATGCAAGGAGGCCCTTCTACTTTGCCTGAAAGTTGGTCTCCCATGAACAGGGTTACCTGAGTTCTGTTCCCCACCCCAATTCAGGTTACACGGCAGATCCATGAGCATGAGCAGGAGAACGAGTTGCGGGAACAGATGTCAGGTTATAAGCGGATGCGGCGCCAGCACCAGAAGCAGCTGATCGCCCTGGAGAACAAGCTGAAGGCTGAGATGGACGAGCACCGCCTCAAGCTACAGAAGGAGGTGGAGACGCATGCCAACAACTCGTCCATCGAGCTGGAGAAGCTGGCCAAGAAGCAAGTGGCTATCATAGAAAAGGAGGTCAGTGTGTGCACACATGCCTTCGTGCCACAACCTAGCCTAGCCTGCTGTAGTCAGTGGCACGATAGCAGGAGGCAGGAGCAGTGTGCCTGTGGGTGATGGGGGAACATTATTGCTGGGGGGCTGGGGCGAGCGTGGTTTCCAGGTTTCATGGGGCTACTTAAAGTTGTCATTCAAAGCTAAGATAGCAACTGAAGATACATATTGCATTCTTGTCCATTCAAATATATTCCAAGCATTGGCCCCTTGATGGTGGTCTGGGTACAAGTAAAGGGAAACAAGGTGCTGCTATCTTCTGAGAATTTGCACAGCACAGATCTGTACTGTGCCTGCCACGGCCACAGTCCTCTTCAAAAGAAAACT